ACAACGTTAGTGAGGAAATTCGAGTAGTTTTGACCCAGAAAGCGAAATTTGAATATCACACACTTAGGTGCAAGATTATGCCCAAATTTCATGTTTTCCGGCCCGTTTTTGCTAATTTCTCGGAGGCAAAATGGGCAAGACCGCTCACTTGTACATCATTCTAGACAGAAATAAATGACCTTTTTAGAAAGTGAACCGTGGATGGGGAAATGTTGACAGTTTTCTCAAAAACGCTTGAATTCAAGAAGTTTTAGATTTGCGTGGATTTTTTTGAGTTGCAAAATCCACTTAAACATGACGCTGCTGTTTTCGAAGTTTCTCAAGAACCATTCGAGTCACAGAATTCGTTTTGGCAACGTTGGATGGAGAATTGAATGNTATCCGCCCTTGGATGAAGCTTGCATGTTTCTGCCTGCTCCAGTTTGGAGGCAAACATTTTCTGAAATGCAGCCTGCTTGCAAGCTTTATCAAATATCAAATGAGAGGTTGCTAATTCTTCAAAAAAAAATCAATTGCCCGAATTGCTTGAAAATTTCACCATGTAAACCCACAAGAATCTTCTATGAATGGGCAAAGATGCAAGTCTCTACCGTGGCTAGTTTGGATTTGAGGACTTTTTAGGCGTCGCTCTGCTCAAGAGCGCTGGCCGGCAGGTGTGAGCATTAGTTGGAGTCAAAGACTATTCCTGAAAAATCACTTGACGGTTCAATTTTTATGAAATTCTCAGCATATTTAAACCCGAATCTTCTTCTATAAATGGTCGATGACTAGCGACTTTAACTGCCCTGGTTTGGACGCAATTAATTGTTGAAACCCTGCCATCTTGCGAGCTCAAGCAATTTTTTTCCAATTTCCAATTTGCTTGCAGTTTTCAGCATTTGAGCCCTCAAGAAGCTTCTATCAGTTTCAGTTTGAATTTGCGCAATCCAGGAAAATCCATCAAAATACCGAGTTCACAAACAAGTTGCTACTCAGACGCTTCAACACTTACGACTCACCAGACAACCATCTAAAACAACCTCTAACCACCAGAAAGCTAACGAAACTAAACAAACTAACGAAATCATCATCATTAATCCCACCCATAACATCGCTTAAGCGTATTTACTCTGAAGGGTTCTCATCGAGTCCTGCATCGACTTTAAAGTGACGATTGGGCGTTTTGCAGGAATAGGAGATCAGATTCTCCCTGGGCCTCAGCCCCCGGATCCAGCGACATTCTGAACCAGCTAAAATCGGCAGTGGCCTCCGGACTGAAGCAAAAGTTCGTCCAACTGGCCAAAGGCTCTGCTGGGGCCGCAGCTGGCGCCTCTGCAGGATTCAGCAAAGGCAGCTTCAGCGGACATGACACTGTGGCCCATTCCTATCACGAAGTAAAAATTGATCTCGATTGGGGGATTTGGGGTAATTCTGCGTTTGGTTGCTGCAGGTGGACGAGCACAAGGGCCTGGACTCGTGGGATATGAAGAAATCGCTGCTGAACACCCTGCTGCAAGCAGTCAAGGCGATTAAAGGTGGGGTTTTAGCCATAAAGGGCCAGTTAATAAAGGGCAGTGGTTATGTGGTGGCTGGAGGTGGCAAACTGCTAGCGGCATCAGGAGACAAAGTCACCAAACTGGGAACAAACATTTTAACTAACGCGGTTTCGGCACACCCTAGCAAAGACGAACACTCACATCCCGGTAAGACTCCCATCACTGAACACACGGTATATTCATGCATTCATGCAACAAAATGCGTGCTGACTGGGGCAAGTTTTCAACTAATGAAATGTTTAGATTACGGGACGCATTCAAGCGGGTTTACAGCCCCGAGTGGGCCCCCCGTTTCGTATGACGGTCCGCCATCTTCAGGGCATGGCTACGAGAGCCACTACGAGAGTCCTTCGCATGGCCATTATCATGGTAAGTATTTTTTAATGCTCCTTTTCCCAATCAGACTTAAAAACTGTGTAGAAATTTACTGTTAAAATTGGGTGGTTGCGATGCTAAAGTTCGCAGTTTTGATGGGCGATCAGCGCACAGAAATCATCTTATGCAAGGACTTTCTTTTGGTGATTCGTGGGTGGAAAGTCGGGGCATTATATTGCATAAACAGCGGCAGTTTTGCAATGAGTTGGTCGATAAGGTTTTTTTGGCAAACTTTGTGCAACGATTTTCTGCCTGAAAGTAGGCTTTTCATTCCCTAATTAGGAAACAGTCATTGTTAGAAGTCATTGCTTATTATTCTTTGATCCACTATTAACCCAACTGATTACTTACGTTTTGTTAAAAATTTCGTTAATTAGTCACGTCGGTTAACCAGAAGGAATACTTCCGTTCTAGATGCTTATGTGATTCATTAGTCACTTATATTATTAATAAGAGCGCATGTAAGATATGGCCGAGAAATTACTTATTTAAGCTGTAGAATTTTAAGATTGCAAATCAATCGGATTGAGTGGCGAAAAAATGCCAAGAGAAAGGAGCTGCTGATAGACATCTGGACATTCTCTTTGATTCTACCCGGAAGAGAATCAGGGGGAATAAAGTGGATTTTTGGCGCAAAAAATCTCAATCGAGGTTCAGTAAAAATGTGCATAAACTTTTTGTATTTGGTCCAAAACCGTTTATTGCAAACACCCACTTTAAAGCTACAAATAACATTCTTTTTCTTCTAGTGTATAAAGCCTGATTAAATGGGAAAATATCAATTAACCCATTTGGGCCCAAATCAAAAAGGTTTAAAACAACAACACAAAAAAATATTATTTGGACATGTGAGAAAAATTAGCGTGTTTCTCGATTAGTCAATTGAACGTGGAATAAGGAGCGAATGAGCCCCAATTTAATTTTATTGGATAATGAGTGGAACAAAGCAAAGCGATTGTTAAGTAACCAGTGGGACCGAAGTGGATAGGATTATTTTGTTGCGTAACTTTTGCCAAATTTTCTCAATTATCGTAATGCAGCTTTGATTTGTTCTTGATAAATTCATCTGACTGTTTCTAGAACCCGTTTTTAATTAAGCGATTTTGATGTTTTCCCAACTTTCAACCTTAAATTTATCTTAATAATTCGTATTAGCACCTTTAAGTAACATTGAATTTGATCCAAAATTAAAATCAAGTCCTGGGTTCTTCAGTCATTTATTTATTGTTCATTTTTCAATTAAAAAAATGAACAATAAATAAATGACTGAAGAACCCAGGACTTGATTTTAATTTTGGATTTGAAACACAGTCAGGAAAGTACGTACATTGAATTTGATCTATTTAGCCTTAAACATTTTTTTCAATAAAGTTCTCTGTATTTTTCTTAAATCGATTTTCATCCCTTRGGGCAAAAATTTTCCGCCCCCGGGTGGGCTCGAACCACCAACCTTTCGGTTAACAGCCGAACGCGCTAGCCAATTGCGCCACGGAGGCTCATACYCACTTTTTCCAATTGCAGTATTTCCTAATCAAGATTTTAGCTAAAAAAGGCGAATTACAAAACGATTGGAAAGGTTACAAGTTCACATTTATCGACCCGATTAGATTGTGTAGTCAATAGATATCACGCGATCGTTGCTTGGAATCTTTGCACACACTTTTACCCATAAAATCATATTGACATTTGACATTATTTTGGACGTTTCACTTGACACAACCTTGAGTATTGATAATGACTATGAAGCGTAAATATGACAGTTGGTAGAAGAATTGTCATTTGGGTCCAAACTAAGAGAGCCAGAGAGAGAAAAAAAATAGTTCTAAAAATGTCTCCTTTCAATCAGGACTTTGTCCAGCACAGTTCGTCCAAAACTGAAAAAAAATTCTCGTTGCAGTCTTTGTCTCTTTCCGATGAAAATGATGTAGAGTTCGAGATTTTTTAAAAAACTTGATTTTTTTCAAAAATCCATCTCTTGATTATGAAATCCCCACTTATGAAAATTTCGACCAAAAATCAAAATTTCGCTATTGTGTTTTTTGCCCTTATTGGATTGTTTCCGACCTATGAAGTTGCCCAATAGCGAACATGCAAGTTGTGGGTCGATAATAAGGAAGATATCGTCCGTTGAAGATTGCGACCGCTCAAAAACCGTTCAAAATAGACAGAAAATGTTGATTTTTTGGGAACTGGAAAGGCCCCGTTGTCTTTTTATTAGTTCATTGCATTCCTTGTCTCTTTCCGATGAAAATGATGTATCAGTCGAGGTATTTTGAGAAAGGTGAATTTTTTGGAAAAATCGACCTCTTACCTTATGAAATTTTCGACCAAAAATCAAAATTTCGCTATTGTGTTTTTTG